TGGATAGATGTGTGCGTGTAGGTGTTTGCGCGTGTAAGTATGTGCGCGCGTTTGAGTATTTAAGGGGAGCCTGCGCGTATATGCGTGATCAGAAGCAAGCAGCCTAGCACATCCAGAAAATTAGTTTTAACGGGAAGCAGCCTTTTTTTCAAAATTCTTCCAAGATTGCTATCGGGGAAAGATACCCTCTAACTTAGGCTTACACATCACCGTGATTCAACCTCCCGCATGCATCTCAGCTAGCATACAACTCGCCGTCTCTGATTTGGCAAGCATGTACCCGTCCTTTTGTTGGGTGACAAGCACGTACCGGTCCTTTCCTTGCTTCCTGAATCTCCCCTTCTTCATATTCTAGCTGTTTGGCCAATGACCTCTGAAGTGTTAAGGAGAACCCTTTCCTCTCGCGTGTGCCAGCTTCCTCGAGTTGGTCAGCGTGATGTAATTCTATTAGGGACCTTGGCAGGCAGCTGCAACAACCCGTCGCTCGCCCGTAGCTCTCTCTATTGTTCCGATCGCCACCGCTCATAATGTAGGTCTATGAACTCTCTTTCTGTGTGCGTGGTGCTAACCCTCCTCTGTCTTATAGTTATTAGCTGCGCTAAGTGTTTAAAACTCGCATGTGTTGAATGGAAAGATTTGTGTTGTGTGTACATGCTTGGTCTCGGTAAATGCGTAAAGGGAAGGCGTCGGAAAATTATACCTGGTAGCGTGTAAAGAAGCACCATGTCGTCCATATCATCTGAAGATGTATAGAATCCTCATTTGCGTTCTTCATCAGTCGCGATATGTCTGGGGTAGGTCATGTCTGTCTGTATGTTCGGATACCTGTGTATGATAATAACAGGAGTGAATAATAGAGAGAATAGAGAGACTCCTTATAATAATATAATTAGAACGGAAATTTACTTTTAAGATGTGGAACGTTTTTCTTTCTCTTTCTCTTTCTCTTTCTCTCGCTCTCAATCGTAAGCGCGTGCGCGCGCGTGCGTGCGCGCGCGTGCGTACGTGCGTGTCAGTATCACCCTCTCCCGTCTCACCCACCCTCCCTCACTATCTTTGTGTCTTCATCGTTAATATTCTCTTTTCCTTTGCGTTTTACAAATATATCTACCCCCGTTCCCTCTTTTCATTCTCTTGTCGTCCTAATCTCTTTTACTCTCTTCCTACCTCCGTCCGAACCCCTTCCCTTCCTGTCCCTCTCTCTTCCTCTATATCTCGTCGCTTCATTTTACCTGATTTCATCCAACAACCCCCGACCCGTTCCCTCTCCTAAACCTAACCAGTCCCCGGGCTCCTACCCCTACACGCTCACTCGCCACGCTGTGTCCATGAACTATTCCGTTAAGGAGCCGCTACGCACCACTCTCTCCACTTCTTCCTGTACTCACAGTCGCAGAAAGCTTACGTAACGCAGATTACTGGTAATTATTTGCGAGCATTCACAAATTGCTTGCTCGGCCAGCAACGCGCTGTTGTTTCACCTACTGTGTATGTACTTTCGCTGCTGTTAATCAGTGCCTGCTTGCTTGGCTACTGGCTCTAACCCCATTATGCTCACTCCTTCCTGCTTTCTATTCTCACACCTTCACTGGCGAGTTCTTATTTTAGCTTAAGTTAATCTCTTCTTCTGAGGATTCCATTGTGTTGAGTGTAGCCCTGTCGGTAATATAGCATGCGAGCACGTTACGATACCGATAAGAGTTATGAGAGAGATAGTGTGTGAGTGGGAGAGAGAGAGAGAGAGACATTCGTTACGAAAGTGAAATTAATCACCAATCCATTCGACGGGTGTTTATTGTTGTAAATGGTTTTACATTTTACGTGACTGACGTTATAGCGGAAGAACGGGTTGAAGACGAAATAGAGAGAGGGGGAGAGTGTGTAAGTGAGTGAGACAGGAAGCGCGCGAGAAAGAGAGCGAGGGAGAACGTGTGTGGGTAAGAGAACGAGAGCGAGAGAGAGAGAGAGAGAGAGAGAGAGAGAGAGAGAGAGAGAGAGAGAGCACGAGAGAGAGGGGGAGGAGCAAGAGAGACAGACAAAAAGAGAGAGGAGGAAAAGGAGAGAAAGCAACTACCGTTTCTTAAATCGGTACACGTCTTGCGGCGCGGGAGTGTTGACTGGTGGAGGTAGTCTTACAGAAAATCACATGCACAGGCGTGCGCACACGCAGACACGAGTGCGCTAACCCGAACCTCGCGTAATGCACCCCATGCGCATGCGTACAGCGAGCATCGAGTATAAACATCGCCCGCCAGGAGCGATGTGCGTGTGTCGCGATCAATCCGCACAATTCCACGACGTAATTTAGGGATTAAAGTTCTATGGTAGCGATTAAATTCCGAATGCCTTGTTTAATTTCACGCGTCCTGCGAGCTGCTAGCTAACGGCTGTTCCTGTGACCGCATGCAGGGGGCCCACCGATGGCTGTTGGCTCAATGAAGAATCCGGCAAAAGCGAGAGATGGGGTGTGAAAGGGGGAAAGAAAGAGAGAGATAGAGGGGGCGAGAGAGAAGAGGGAGAGAGACAGCAAGAACGAGGGGGAGAGTAGAGCGAACTGAAGATGCAGACACAGATTTACAGAGAGCAGCCAGTAAGAACGAACCAGCGACCGAGCGAGAAAGAGAGAGAGATAAGGAGTTGGAGAGAGGGAGAATGAGGAGAGGGCGAGGGAGTAAGGCGAGAGGGAAGAGTGAGAAGAATATATGGACATAAATAAACAGACAGCGGAAATGAAGACCGAGCCAGCGAGAGGCGAGAGAGAGGGAGAGAGGATGGAGGGAGACATTGCTACTTTCTGCATGGCAGCTTCTGGTCTGGGCTCTGAGAGGTGAATGCCTTCCCCTCCACCCGCGTGCCTCCTTTAACCCCCCGAACAATCTGCTGCCTCATGCAGCGTGTTGAGCAAATACGGAGTAGTGGGATTAGCTAGCGTGCTGAGTAATCTAGCGCACGCTCTTCTGTGTGGATCTGCGACGAAATGTTTGTCGTTGAGCTCGCGCGCCAGTTCATTTCTCGTTCGTCGCCCATTCGCGCGAACTGCTTCGTGATTTAATTCCACATAAATCGTGCGCCACAGCCGCAGTCGTATCGTGGTGTTTGTCCCGGGCCTACGTACGTACGTAGACTCGCGGCGCGTGGAAATAGATAGCTGCGCTTATAGACAAGTGAGTGCAGTGAACTCTTCCGTTCTCCTCCGGTGTCTATTACGGTGTTTCCTTTCTCTCGCACCATCCACCACGCTCTCTTCCAACCCTACCCCCTCATTGCCGTTTTATTTCTCTTGTAATATAACACTATCAGTAATTATCTATCTCTCTTTCTCTCTCTCTCTCTCTCTCTCTCTCTCTGCTCAGCCTCTCTAAATATATATAATATATATATATATATATATATATATATATTAATTCACCTATCTATCAAACTACCTATCTGCATAGACCTCTCTTATCTCCGTTTGTTGTACTCTCTCCGCCTCGCTCTTTGTTCATCTTCCTTTTCCACCTCCCTCTTACGCCCACCAGTTTGCGTTAATACAATACTGTGAGACCGGTCATTCGTAACATGAGTTTGATGACTCCTACACTGTCATGCATCTTTTGGGGCCCGGGAAACTGTAAAGTAATTGGACAGCTATAGTTAAGGGGACGATTATAGCGGCACGTATGTGTGTCCAAGCAACCGTCTTTATCTTCTTACTCCGCACTGAAAACATGCAAACTCGGACTGAACCGCCAATACCGAAATTGGCGGGAAATCCTGTCCCCTTCCCCTACTCAATTTTCTTTTAATAAGTCTCTAAACAGGTTCGAGCAAGACAGACTCGACAAACAACCGAATGAACCCATTAAAAAAGATTGCTTCCCTCCCCAACATGAGCGAAAGTGTAAAACATGGGCCGTTAGACCGACTCGACGTTAAGCACTGTATTTTTCATCCACTCGGGTTTTCACTGGCCATAATCAGCCACTATAACGTAGCCATAATGGCGGCGATAGGCGCGAGCCATTGACGCTCTGCTAGTTTCACGAGACAGCCGGCCTGGAATGCATCATTAGCAACCGGAGTGAGTATAGCCAGCGTCGAGTGGTATTTTTTAACAGCGGCGTTTACTTGTAGGTTTATTGCCGCTTTCTCGGTCGTACGCGTCTGCTTCTCGTGTGCTTGTCTACATGCTTCTCTCGTGTGCTTGTCTACACGCTTCTCTCGTGTGCTTGTCTACATGCTTCTCTCGTGTGCTTGTCTACACGCTTCTCTCGTGTGCTTGTCTACACGCGTTCGTAACGGGGCACTGCTGCATGCTGTCGTTGACACCTGCCACGATGGCATGTGACAGCCAGCTGCTAGCAGCAGCGCTGCGATGTGTAGGAATAGACGTAGGACTGAGCGACGAAACTCGGATCCGCATGCGAAACTACGTGCCATTGCGTCGCTTCTGCGCAGGTATTTGACGTGCGTTAGTAAGTTCTTATTCCGTGCGGACGGAGAAGGTCGGATGATCAGGAATTTATGTCTGGTGTGAATTAATGCGAAACGTTGCCAAAAAAAATGAGCGCCATAGGCAAGAGATATCCGCAGCGACCTTGCCTCTACACGGTGCGTCTTCACGCACTCTCATCTCTCCGCACGCAGATGGTAAAACAATAAACACATATATAATAAATAATAATAATAAATTAATTAAAATACATTATGCTGTGTAGCAATCCGACTGCGATTGAGACAACAGCTTATAGTGGGCAGCAATGGTTGCATTGGCGCCACAAAGTGATGTCTAGCAAGCGCTTTATCAGGCGAGACGTTACCAGCACAGCAGCCGTCAACATGCCCGTCAACATGTCAGTTTCTGCCTCATGCCACGCGTCATTAGCCTGATCCTCTCCCACCGCGACGCAACATAGTTGACACCGCAGTGTTGACACGGCTGCAGCTTAGCCTGTTATTTCAGTGGTAGCAGACGGTGTCCGGTTAGGCGTAGTCCGGCCACAAGCGGGGATGGGCGCGTGTTGCTGCGCCTTCCCGCTGAGCAGCAGACAAACAAGCAGCGGCAAGCGATCCCGTAAAACCAGATCTTCGCAACTATATTAAGGCATTGTCACAACGGCATTGTTCTCGCGAGAAAGAACTATCTAACTGCTGGTTAGAAATAGTTTGCACCCGTAGATCGGCGAGCACTACCGAGAAGAATAGGTGCGCAGATAGGCTTACGCGCCGCACCGGTTCTTGCTCCTCGAACCAGTAGGCCCGCCGTGTTCTTACGTGCCCGGACGTACGCGCGCCTGCTGTCCGCGGATTGCTCCCGTCTCAATACCATCACGGAGAACCGGTGGACAGGCAGTCTTTATTTATGGACTCGAGTGCGTTCGCGTGTTGGAATTCCGGCGCTTGGCTGCTCGTGTGCGCGCGGATACGTGATTGAGTTTACAAGACGTTGTGGGAAGTATTCTGTAGTGTAATCGGATGTTGACTCGACGCGTCGAGCGCTGGCGCTTTGCTATTTTTTCCGAGGTTTACTTCGACAACATTCCCCGCTGCGGTGCGGTATTGCCTTGCTGATTCGACGCAGATATCTTGGATATAGATACATGTGACTGGGATATTCGGTTTATTTGTCGCCGGGCGCATGCGCGTGTGGATTGGGTATCATCAGGGTTCTATGATAACCGCACGTTAGCGCCAGCGCCAAAGACGAGTGAAATATGCCGCTACACAGCACTAGTGCCGGCCATCTCTCGACACCCGCGTCAGAGCTGCTACAGCTCCTGTAAATTGCGTAAAACTCGCTATTGCCTGACAGCGCGAGAGTCCGCGTCCGCGAATCATCCGCAGCATCCCTAAGCGACCAGCATCCTCATCCTCATCACCGGACTCGGAGCGCGATCGGTTGCCATGACTCTCACGACAAAGCTGAGTCGCCGCAAGCGACGATACACGATTTCCTACGTGCTCCCGGACTGCGCCGTGAGACCGAGCAGCCCCGTGGTGGGGTCGGACAGCCCGGGGGTCGGGTCGTCCCACGCCCCTGGGGTGGGGTCGATTGGCATTGGATTCTCGTGGCGACGCAGACACACGATGCAGTCTGCAGTGGTGCCAGCTGCTGTCTCGCGCCCGGAAAGATTCCTGCAGTCGTTCTCCTCACCGGAGCTGTCTCGGGTGGATCACCGTGGCACCGTCCAGCAGGTAACGTGCGGCCTCAGTATGGCTTCAGAAACTTCTGTACATACATCCTGATGGATCATCGACAACCCCCAACCCTTACCCCAATCCCATCCCTGCGAGCAGGATGTTCTTATTTACACACGCTTCTGCTAGCACCCCTCCCTTTCCGCGTATTGTGGGACACATGCTCCCATCAATCTACCGACGTCTGTCCCATCTTTTCTTCCCCTACCCAGCGATATTTGGTGGTAGACTAGATCGTCGGTGGGCTTCTGTCACATTTTCACGCGAGTCATATCTCCGTGTGGCGCCTAAGGTGCCTTGAAGAGTGCATGTGAGAATTGATTTGGGCTAATTCCTTGTGTTTGTGGCGGTATATGCAGCGTGATGCATGCGCATCGTTCTATGTGCTCACACGTGTCAACTCGGTTCACCTGCCAACTCGGTACGTGTGGCGAGTTGACGCGTCTGGAGATCGGTGAGCTCGGTCCGTGAGATGAGTTGACGCGTCTGGAGAACGGTGAACTCGGTTCGCCGGCTAACTCGTGAGATGTTTCACACGCCCTAACTCTAATATCTCGCGAACGATTGGAGTTACATTTCTAAAATTCTAGATACATATAAACACATGTCTTAGCTATGATTTCTGTAAATTTTGAGTATATTGAAGCACATATAAACACATGTATTAGCTATGGTTTCTGCGAATTTTAGTATATTGAAGCACATATAAACACATGTCTTAGCTATGGTTTCTGTAAATTTTTAGTATATTGAAGCACGACTAACAGTATATATATATATATGTGTGTGTGTGTGTGTGCGCGCGCGCGCGCGTGTGCGTGTTTGCGTGTGCGCAACACACACACACACACACACAC